TTCAAATAAAGCATAGATTCTCATAATTAAATGTCAGACTAAAGAAGGGGTTAAGACTTATTGTAGAGTGTATACAATTTAAGCTTCAGGAACTCTCACCTGCACAGATCTGTTGGGGCTCTAACAATGTGTTCCACATTTTTTGTAGCTTGACAAAATAAGACATCTTGGCCACAAACTGAAAAATAAAAATCTCTCTCCACACTGGATTTTCCTGCAACATATTTCTTTTCTAGATGAGTGGCAACAGAGAGCTATGGACGTTTTGAGGGTTCAGCTAAGAGGTAATGGAGTAGTGGGAGTTTTGCCTAGCAGTTAAGATGCCTGTGTCCCACATCAGAATGCCTGGCCTGGGTTTAATTCCCAGCTCTAGCTTCTGATTCCAGCTTCCTGGAAATGCAGACCTTGGGAGACAGCGATGATGACTCAAGCTATTGGATGCCTACCACCCATGTGCAATACCTAGATTACATTTCTGGATATCAGCCCTACCAGTTGGGGAAATTTGGCAGGGGTGGGGAGGGGTGTGAACTAGTGGTTAGAAACTCTGTCTTGGCCAGCGCCGTGGCTCACTTGGCTAATCCTCCACCTGCGGTACCAGCACCCCGGTTTCTAGTCCCGGTTGTGGCACCTTATTCTGTTCCGGTTGCTCCTCTTCTGTGTCCAGCTCTCTGCTGTGGCCCAGGAAGGCAGTGGAGGATGGCCCAAGTGCTTGGACCCTGCACCTGCATGGGAGACCAGGAGGAAGCACCTGGCTCCTGGCTTCGGATTGCCAGCGGCTTTGGGTGGTGAACCAAAGGAAAAGGAAAACCTTTCTCTCTGTCGTGCGCGCTCTCTCTCACTGTTTAACTCTGCCTGTCAAAAAAAGAAAAAAAGAAACTCTCTGTCTCTTTCTGCCTCTTGAATAAAGAAAGAGGCAATAGAGTTGGTGACAGATTGTGTTTGAGTTTAGTGGGATATGTTTTTATGGTTTGCAGCAACTATTATGATTATTATTAGTCATATGGGTATAAGAATGGCCTTAGGAACATCCCTATAGCTCACTATGCCAATTCACTTGCTGAGGGGACATGAAGATCCAGACCAGAGGTGGTATCATACAATATGAATGTGTCCAGTGGACTCTGACTCTAGAGGGGTCATAAGGAGAAGAAATAAGGTATGAAATATAGTAAAAAATGGATTGTGGAAAGTTCTTCCAGATCTTGGGACATTCAAAATGTTCACAGAAAATGCACATTGTGAAAAAACTGGGCATGGATTTCAGATTTTTTCCATACTAAATAAGTTGATCTTTTTACTCAGTTATTGCACAAACTTTTGAAGTAGCCAGGTATATTACATCAACAATAGTTTTCCTTAATTTAGCAACAATCCTTAAAAATTTAGACATTATCAATGAGTTATAAAACTGAAAGAAACTTTTCTAATTTGCCCATAATAAAAAAATTCTAATCACATATACTGTGGGTCCGTCCTGTGAGGCTCACACTGTTGGGATGGTGGGGCGACAGCATTCTTTGGCAAGAAGCACTGGAGACAGTTTCGGTGAACATGTCTGTTAATTAGCAGTTAGGCACAAGCTTTTATAGGGCAGGCAAAGGGGAGTAGCTAGCTCAGGGTAGTTAACACTAATTCTATAGTATAAACCAATGCTGATGCCGTTATGCTTCTCCAATCAGCTTGAAAGTCACATAGACCACATAGCCCACATAGCCTTCCAGGTGGTCTTATGGGTCTGGGCCATATCCAGGAGCTGTTTATCTAGCTGACAACTACAAGGCCCCTCAACAGGAAGTGGGGGTGGGGGAAATATGCTTGGGGCCCCTGCCACCTACCAACTGTCAGGTCATATGTGAGTCTCAGTGTGCTGAGTCCTCAACCAGGGTTTTTCCCTGGGGGCATCGTATGCCCTCTTGACCTTCTGCATAGGCCAGGCAGGCAGCCTTCCAGCCAGGTACAGGATCACCCACAACAAACTAAAGGAAAAGCATGATTGTTTTTCTATTTTTCTAGAAAGAGATATTAGATTGTTGTTATTATTATTGGAAGAGGCAACCAATGAATATTCAGTCACAGAGCATTAGAAGAAAAGTACTATACAGTTGTGCCAGACATGTAATTAACTAATTACTGTTTTTCCAGATTTTGTGATATTTATGGTATTTCTCATTTTTTTAAAAAAAGATTTATTTACTTATTTGAAAGGCAGAGTTACAGAGAGCAGGAGAGACACAGAAAAAGAGATCTTCCAAGCACTGACTCATTCCCCAATTGGCTGCATGGCTAGAGCTGGGCTAGTCTGAAACCAGTAGCCTGGAGCTTCCTCTGATTCTCCCATATGAGTGCAGGGGCCCAAGCACAGGGGCCATCTCCCACTGCTTTCCCAGGTACATTAGCAGAGAGCAGGATCAGAAGTAGAGCAGCTGGGACTTGAACCAGTGCCCATATGGGATGCTGGCTTTGCAGGTGGTGCCTTAACTTGCTAGGCCAATTTGACAGGCTCTATTTGTCAATTTTGTTTTTTAAAGATTTATTTTATTTATTTGAAAGGCACAGTTACAGAGGGAAAGAAGGAGAGATAGAGAAATCTTCTATCTGCTGGTTCAAATGGCTGCAATGGCCAGGGCTGGCCCACATCGAAGCCAGGAGCTCAGAATTTCTTCCCAGGTGCGTTAGCAGGGAGCTGGATTGGAAGTGATGCATCTGGGACTTGCACCGAACCAGCCCCCATATGGGATGCTGGTGCTGCAGACAGCTGCTTAACACATTACACCACAACACTGGCCCCTATCAGTTTTTAAACTTTGAAATTTGTTATGACTCCTTTTTCTCATTCTAAATATTCACTTTATTTTCAAATTTTATGTTGTTTTTCTTAAAGAGGATTCCCAAATTGTTTCAGGCTCCACAAAACCAGGATCACCCTGGCTACACAGGAGCTTTTAAATATTTAGAATTAAGAAAAAGCCTTTCCTTTTGGTTAGGGTTTCTTAATAACATGGGCAAATAGAATCATAGTTTACTTCATCTAAAATCTGACCTCTGTGATGGAATTGGTAGTTCTGGGGGTGTCAGAACTAAGAACAGTGAGAGACACTCAGATTCATCACCAATCACCCAGCAGGGAGAAACTCTGGGTGGAACCTGGCACCTGGTATGAATTTCTGTTCCAGAAAAGAAATCTTCTGAAAAGGAGGTCTGCTGAAATGACCTAGTGCAGCTTTTATCTCATTCAAAAGAGGAAAGACTGTGAAGCTTTTCAGACAAGTGTGGGAAACTGGATTTGGGATATTTATGTTCAGTTCACCTAGTTTTGGATTTTCCACTAAAAAGGAAAAGTTAACTCTGACCAGTGGATGATGATGGCTATCCTTTCCTGTCTGGTTGTCCTGTGTTTGACTGAGTACTGCGTTGGATTGATGGATGTTATGGGAGGTCCTACGGCCAGTGTGGCCAGAAGCTCCTGACAAAGTCTTAAAAGTTTATCTCCTCCTCACAAGAGCAGATGGGATCAATGCACTGGGATCATTACTTGCAATCAAGCTGTGCCAAGGTCGCTGGCTCTTCCCTAAAGAAAAGGAATTTCCATACAAATACTACTCATTTATCAGCAATCCTGCTTGCTTTATCTTTTTGCTATGTATGCCCGCATTAAAGGCATAATTTTTTTTTTTTATATCCCAAATAAAAAAGAAAAGTTTAATTGTATTTCACTGTGGGCCCACAATTTGGCTCCAAGAGCAGTAATAAAAAATAGTCAGAACATCCCCTCTGGTTGCAGGACTGGTCACCACCATACCAGGAGGTCACAATGTGCAGACATAGTCCTAATGTCTCTGAGCCCTCGTTCTCAGACTCTGGGAGTCAGAAGGCTCACGTGATTCGAGGACTCCTTCCTGCAGGCTGGAGTCAGGCTGGCTGAAAGTGGATATTACTCAGCATTGCATTCTATCAGGAATAAAAGTTACATGGAAGCCTTTAAACAGCCTCTGATGCTGGATGCCCAGGAATTTCTGTCTCAGTGTGACCGAAAGAATCAGAGTGTGGTGCAGTTCAGAGAAGTGCACGATTCTTAATGTCAGCAGTTCTAATAACAATGCACCACTATTCGGATGACGAAGTTGTTCTCTTATTTAGCTGTCTAGGGTTTTTTGGATTTAGTGGTAAATTCTGTAATCAAGAATAATGATGTGTTTTACAGGAGAACATGACAATAGGATTATGGCTGCAAGGCTAAGCAGGACAATGGCAAATTTGACCCCTGCTTGTTTAACAAAGGCATTTCCCAAAGAACATGAAGTATTTCTGGTGCTGTGGATTCTCTGAGATCTTATTTTCCTTTACACTTTTTTCTTGGAGAATCAAGTAATAGACTATGATGATATATACATACAAGTATAGAGAGACATGTGGAGGTGGCTTAGCAAAGCAAATAGTCCCATTCTTGTTTTTGGTTTGAGGCTAATGCTGAATGCGTGTACTTAGAAAAAAACTACATTTCAGGAGAAGAGTGGTTTCCCCTAGCTCTACCTCAAACCTTTTATCAAGTCATCAAAAGGAAGAAAAGTCAGGGGTTGATGACTTTTCCTAATGTTCACTCCCTTCTGTTTTAATGAGATCCTAACTGCACAGGCTACAGTGGACTTTGCTGGAGAAATATCTGCCTTGGATTTTCCTGGTCTGGATACCTCAGGCTCAAACCTCCCTGAACCCAGAATTCACTCTTTTGTAATGAGACTGTGAATTGTGCTCACTGAGCTTCACCTTCCCCACCTTGACAAGATTTCTTCCTGTTGGAGTCAGATTCACCTTTTCTGTATGCTTAGGAATGGAAATATCCTTTCATGTCCCCCAAAAGATGCACCCATGCTGACAGTCTGTAGTATTCACCACATCTGGTGGTTGTCTCTCTCTCTCTCACTCACTTTAATAAAACCTGGTGCTTAGTTGAGCCTATGAGGGACACCCGCCACCCTTCTGCTCCCATCTGATGCTACCTTTTTCTGCATCTATGCGGATCTGCATCTCGAGATCCTCTGTGGACATATAGAAGTCATCTGCTGGAGGCATCGATGATTTGGGCTGGCAGTGTCCACAGCAGCATTTGCAGCAGCAGCACAGGCAGCAGCAAAAATAGCAGCCGGTCAGGAGGCCAATGATGATGAACAGGGCCTGGGGGAAACAGAGGCCAAGCCAAACAGGGGTGAGGAGTGGCAAATTGGGGAAAGAACCCCAGAAAAGTCTGTACCTGGTGGCCTTTGAGACCCGAAGCAGTCCCAACTCACCCCACATCCACTCCCCCAATCCTTACTCCCTGTAAAAGCTCTTTTTGTAGAGTCCTTGGAAGCCAATTCTCTGATGTAAAATTTTGCTTAACAAGTTAAGACACAGAAGAACTGACTTGGATGCAGAATAATGGAGTATAACATTTTCTTTTTTATTCTTAAGCTGTTGTGACCATTAAGAGCACAGCAAAGCAAAACAAATACCAAACAAACCAACAAACAAAACCTGCACAGGTCAAACAAGCTAGCTGAACCATGCTGCCCAAGAGAGCTGAATCTCTCTTGCCGGAGAAGAGCTATGTGGTGGCTCCCTGTCTGCCTGTACGTTCCTGCTAGGCAACAAGTCCTATAGCGTCTCTCTCCTCAAGAGCTCGTGCCTCTTCTTCTCCCTCATCTCTGTCCAAGCCAGTCAAGCTTTAGAGCAGGTTCTTACTGCCTCTGATCTGGACTTGGCTGCAGTCTCCCCTCTGGGCTCCCTGCTTCCCCTCTTGCCTCCCTGCCCTTTGCTGCTGGAGTGAACTTCCCTGAATACGTGTTCTCTCGAAGCCACATTGCAGCTCCTGGATCTCAGATACAGCTGATCTCCTTAACATGATGGTGTTCTGGCCGATCACTGCTGACCCTCCCCTGCACCTGCTCAGCCCTGCTCTTGCCTGGCTGCATGGCTCTCACTGTGGATTCACCCATTCAAACATTGTCCTCATGTTCCCCAGTCACCTAACAAATACCTACCTGGTGCTTGAGACTCATCTCAAAGGTCCCTTTTCTGATGTCTTTCCTCATCTCACCCCAAGAACAATCGCTCCCTTCTTTGTGCCCCAGTTTTACTCCACATACATTTTTACCTTGATGCACTTAAAAAAATTGTTTACATTGAGGCAAGTCAGATTGAGCATGTCCCAAATTGTACATCTCCTCCCTCTCTTCCTACTCTTTTAACAGAGATCACCATTTATTTTTTATTTAAAAGAAAGAGAGAGAAAGAGAGGAGAATATCTCCCCATGTGCTGGTTTATCCTCTCAGAAGCCTACGACAGCTGAAGTTGGCTCAGGCTAGAGCAAGGAACCAGATCTCTCATGTGGGTGTCAGGGACCCAAACACATGAGCCATCACCTGTTGCCTCCCAGGGTGTACATGAGCAGCAGGCTGGAATAGGAAGTGGAGCTGGGACCTGAACCAGGCACTCCACATCCCAAGTGGTACTTAACCACTGTGCCAAATGTCCACTCCCTTGATGTTCTTTCTGTTGACACTTTTTTGTAGTTCTGTCTGATTATACTATACTGGGAGCTTCTTGAAGTCTGGGACTGTATGGTAGACATCTTTCAACCCTTCTTACCTAAAGAGTCAGTATCTGGTAGACACTTAATAAATGTGCATGAAATTAATGAGTACACAGTTAATAAATATTTTATATTACAATAAACATTTTATAATATTATATATTATATTCTTACTATATATTTTATATAATATATATTTATATATAATATATTTTCTATGTATTATATATTTTATATAATATATATTTATATATAATATATTTTCTATGTATTATATATTTAATGTATTTTATATTATTATAATAAATATTTTATATTGTATTACATTATATTATAATGAATATTTTATATTATAATAAATATTTATATATCTAATAATAATAAATAAATTTCTCCTAGTAAACAACATTAGGATTTCCCCACAAACATATCAAAAGTTTGCTCACTAAGAAAAAAACAAAAGAGGAAGAAAAAGAAAAGAAACTTTCTCATCTCTCCAATTTGAAGTTATAAGAAGCCCATTTATGTGAAGGGAGCAAAATTAATTTATGGTTTTTGTCAAAAATAGAAAGGAAGTGGTTTATACATTTGTAATTGGATGCAGATTTTATGTAATAGTTGGGGGAAGGGAGTAATAAAAGACCAAGAACGTGGAGTGCATGTGCACTTCTTCAGTAACTTTGAGGCAGAACGCTTGAGCATCAAGGAAGCTCACCCGCCCCACCTCTGCTTCCTAGCCCAGAACCCTCGATCCACTCTGGCCCCAGGCCGACTTGGAGTGGGGGAGCCTTAGTCACACTCTTGCACCAATAACCTCTTTGCTGTGGATGGATACTTTACAGTTTTGTAGTCTTGGATAAATTACTCTAAGAACCAAAACCACAGCACCCTCCTCCCGTCCGCTGCCCCCAGGACCCTCCTGTGCAGAATTCCTCAGCTATCCCCCTAGAAATGCCTCCCTTCTTTATCTACTTTTGTCCTTTTTGTTTTTACTGTGTAATTCCCATATTATTCTCTTCTCTGAAAATTCCTTTTCTTTCATATTCTTTTTGTTTTTAATTATTCTAGCTACATTATTTGCCTTTTTGTGGGAAATAACCTTGCTTTATCCCTTTTAATACTAGATATACTCAGGTTTCTGATTTTTTTGAAATATATACTTTTGATGGCACATTGATTCACTCACATGGTACATATTTAATATGTGATTATTGAGTGTCAGGCCACCCTGATGGACAGTATGCCACTGGGCTTTGGCACACACAGAAGTGTAAGGCCCCCCTTTTTTGTAACTTTTTAAAAAAATTATTTTATTTATTTTAAAGTCAGAGTTAGAGAGAGAGAGAGAGAGAGAGAGAGGGAGACAGAGATAGAGAGAAATCTTCCATCCACTGGTTTACTCCCCAGATGGCTGCAAGGGCCAGGGCTGGGCCAGTGAAAAAAGCCAGGAGCCAGGAGCTTCTTCTGGGTCTCCCTTGTGGGTGCAGGGGCCCAAGGGTTTAGGCCATCCTTGGCTGCATTCTTGGGCGTATTAGCAGGGAGCTGGCTGGGAAGTGGAGAAGCCAGGATTCAAACCCACACCCATATGAGATTCCAGTGTCTCAAGTGGCCGCTTAACCCACAACCTCACTATGCCAGCCCCTGTGGGCTTATTTTTAAAGAGCCACAACAAGAATTGTTTTGTGTATCTCTTACACTACTGGACAGAATCTATTGTCTAGATGAGTTTTGGGCAAGTCAGTCTACTTCCTGAGCAAGGAAGTTGTCATTTTTATTGAGACAGGCCCCAATATATAATCAAGTACACGTGTGTAATTATCTAGAACTGCAGATGTTCCTTCCCATGGAGAGAGATTCCTAGAGGTTAGGTTCCCCCGTACGCCCACAAAAAGCCCCTCCGTTTTATTGTTGGAACGCTAATCTATTATAAGTGATGTTGTCAGTATGTCCATTTCCCTCTAAGTTCCAAATCCATCAAGTTTTCAAAGACAAAGAAATTTCAGTGGGAATCCCAGACATCCCTCCAAAAAGAATTCTGGGAACTGCAGAAGGCAAATGAAGTTTTAGATTGCAGAATTTCTTCCCCAGTTTTGTATGAAAACACATTACCTCTTTCCTTACATATACAAAGCTCAACGAGATTCAGTGAAAGAAAAAAAAAACCAGAGTACTACTGAGCATGATACCTTACTTACTTACTTACTTTATTTATTTATTTATTTATTTATTATTTGAAAGAGGGAGGGAGGAGAGAGAGAGAGAGAAAGAGAGAGAGAGAGAGAGAGAGAGACTTCCACCCACTGGTTTATTCCCTAGATGGCTGCAATGGCAGAGACTGGACCAGGCCAAAGCTAAGATCCAAGAGCTTCATCTGGGTCTCTCACATGGATACAGGAGCCCAAGGACTTGGACCATCTTCTGCTGCTTTCCCAGGCCATTAGCAGGGAGCTGAACCAAAAGGGAAGCAGCTGGGAAATGAACAGGCGCCCATATGAGAAGCTAGCATCACAGGCAGCGGCTTTACCCACTATGCCACAACACTGGCCCCGGAGATTTTTTTTTAATTATTGTTATTAATCACAACTCATATTTATGTGAACTGCCCACAAAATATGTTAATAGAGGGCCTGGTGCTGTGGCCTAGTGGGTTAAGATGCCACCTGTAATAAAAGCATCCCATATGGGCACTGGTTCGAGTCCTGGCTGCTCCACTTCTGATTTAGCTCCCTGCTAATGCACCTGGGAAAGCAGAAGAAAGATGGCCTAAGTGCTTGGGCTCCTGCCATCCATGTGGGAGACCTGGAAGAAGCTCTGGGATCTTGGCTTCCACAGCCGTTGCAGCTACGTGGGGAGTGAACCTGCAGATGGAAGAGCTCTCTCTTTCTCTCCCTGTAACTCTGCTTTTCAAATAAATAATTAAATCTAAAAAAAAGTTAATAGGCTGCATGCCTGATCTATATCCAAGTGTGATTTAATCAGAAGCTAAGAATATTAACATTTAAACAAATATAAAACTGGCACCAAACATAAATATATTAGGCATTCCTGAGAAACCAAACAAAATGTATTGTGTGAAAATTAATAGATTGCATGGAGGCTTCTAAAATATTATTTTTTCCTGACCACATAGCCAGTTCTCCTCCTTCCTCTTTCAGCCTCTCCAAGTTCCTGTCCTCTACTTAACTCTCACCTTCCTCCCTCATTTCCTTCTCCACTACCCCAGTGGGCTCCATGTGAGCCTATGACATAATTGCCACTCACTCTTCCAAGTATTGTGTTTGCTGCCGTACCCTCTGCTATAGATAGTAAAGGACGGGGCTAAATTTGTCCTATAATCTTTTATTAAACAGTTGTCACACTAATAAATTATTTTTGGTTTTGAGCAATGAGTCAGTTGTTAATTAGTCATTATGGGGGGAGGGAGTGCAGTCAGAATTAACCTGAAGCTCCAAATTCAAATATAATTAATGTCTAGAAGTATTTTAAGTCATGCTGGATTTCATAATTAATTGATGAGCTAATGCAAAAATGATCCCCAAATAATAGCTCTCAGTGGAAGTGAATCTCCTCTTATGACAAGATTTTAATAGCAGTAAAGTTTAACTTTCTTTGAGATGGAGTCTAAAAGAGTAACTATCATGGTCTTCCTGGAAATTGTCTTGAAGGAAGAAAAAAATTCTGATTCACCTTTGCCCACCAGCTTGAGAGCATAAAGTAGGTGTTCACATTTTCTTCTCCAAATTGCTCAGCCACATAGAGGCCCAGTGATCCATACTTGTCATATATGTTCTTCTTCGACATGTCCGTCAGTATTGTGTGGGCGTTGTTGATTTCTTTAAACTTTTCAGCAGCAATGGGATCATCTGGATTCTTGTCTGGATGGTGTTTCAGGGCCAATTTTCTTTTAAAATAAAACAAAAAGTGAGGAAAAGTATTATTGGACAAGAATTACTATAATCTTTTAGGAGGGCACAGTTCATTCACACACTCTTTACTCTCGTAAATACTGTGAAACAATATGTTTGTCATTCATAATTGTATTATTTCTCCTCTCACATCCGCAAAGGAGTTCCTAGCAGCTACATGATTGTTGAACTTGACATTTAAGTCAAATGTCCATTTCAGGAGGTTGTGTGTGTGTGTGTGTTTGTTTTTTCTGCCCATATAGACTATCATAAAATCTTTTGCTAATAACACAAAGTGTCAATTTAAAGTCTTTCTTTTTTTTTAAGATTTATTTATTTTATTTGAAAGGCAGAGTTACAGAGAGGTAGAGCAAGAGAGCGAGAGTGAGAGTGAGAGCGAGCGAGAGAGAAATGTTTTCCCTGCTGGTTCACTCCCCAGATGGCTGCACTGTTGGAGACTGTTGGAGCTGCACCAATCCGAAGCCAGGAGCCAGGAGCATCTTCTGGGTTTCCCATGTGGGTGCAGGGGCTCAAGAACTTGGGCCATTTAACACTTTTGTCCCAGGCACATTAGTAGGGTGCTGGATCAGAAGTGGAGCAGCTGGGACTCGAACTGGTGCCCATATGGGATGCCAGCACTACAGGTGGAGGCTTTACCCACTATGCCACAGTGCCAGCCCCTAAAATTTTTCAGCGATTATGATATTCACTACATGTCAGCACTACTGTAAAGCACATCACAAATATTAATTCATTAATCCCTGTGACAATTCTACATGTTAAAAATATTTATTTAAAAGTCAGAGTTAGAAAGAGAAAGAGGGAGATGCAGAGAGAGAGAGAGAGAGAGAGAGAGATCTTTGATCTGCTGGTTCACTCCCCAGTTGGCTGCAACAGCGAGTGGTGGGCCAGGCCGAAGACAGGAGCCAGCAGCTTCTTCCAGGTCTCCCACATGGGTAGCAGGGGCTCAAGTACTCAGGCCAGGGCTCAAGTACTCAGGCCATCTTCTGCTGCTTTTCCCAGACTATTAGCAGGGAGCTGGATTGGAATTGGAATAGCCAGGACAAAAATTGGTGCCCATTTGGGATGGTGGTGTTGCCGACGGCAGCTTTACCCACTACTCCGTAATGCCGCCCCATGATAACCCTATGAGATAAGTGTTAGAATTGTCCTACTTTACAGATGAGGGAGTTTGGACACTGAGAGGTTAAGTAAGTTGCCCAGTGTCACACAGCTAAGCATTGGAGTAAGGCTCTGAACACAATCAGACCCTTGCCACATGCTCTTCATCACCACTATGTTGCCTCCTATGTTTCTATTTCTAAATGAAAAAATTAAGGCACGCAAACTGTTTATAGGCTGTTTTAAGGGCTTTGGCTTTCCTCTGGGTGAGCAGGAGGCCATTGCCATGTTCTGAAAAGGAGAATGATGTGATCTGATTGTAGTTTTAGAAAGATCACTCAGTCTTGGGATGGACAAAGGCAAAAATGGGAAGACTCTTCTTGGAGACTGTTTTAGTGATTCAGGCAAAAAATCATGGTGATTTGGAGCAGAGTGGTAGTAGAGGGGAATAGTGAAAAACAGGGCTGCTGATGGAATGGATGATGTGGTGTGGGGAAAAACAATGAAGAATCAAGATGGCAGCAACATTCTGCCCTGTGTGACTGGAAGTTTAGAGCGACTATTTAATGGGATGGCATGAAAAAGCATTTGGTAGTGGGGAGTGGCTTGCCAGGATCCGGGCATTCCGACGCTTGGAAGATGCCCGTTAGACTTCTGAGAGGAGACGGAGGTAGAGATGTGTCTGGAGTTCAGATGGGAATCAGTGCGGGAGATGTGTGTGTGGGAGTTCTCAGCAGGTAGACTGATGTTTAGAAGAGAGTTCAGGAGTGTGGGTCCAAGGAGCCCAAGGGTTGAACTTTGGGAAGGGATAATCAGAAAAGGAGACTGAGAGAGAAGGATTAGTGATGCAGAAGGAAAATTCCAGACAGTATGAGGTCTTGGGATCTAAGAGAGAAAACAATCTCAAGGAGGAAGATGATCATCTGTGCCAGGTGCTGCCGGCAAGCCATTTAAGATAAGGACCAAGCATAGACCACTGTACTTAGTAATTGTGTATACATACATATCCCTCCCCCACACACACATGCACACAATTGTATACATGTCTTCATGTAGAGACAACTAAGACAAAAAAATAAGCAAAAAATAGGGGCCTGACGTTTCGGTATAGTGGGTTAATCCATTGCCTGCAAAGCTGACATCCCCTATGGGCACTGGTTGGAGTCCTGGCTGCTCCACTTCCGATCCAGTGCCCTACTAATGTGCCTAGGACCAAAGTGGAAAATGGCCCAAGTGCGTGGCCCCGGCACCCAAGTGGGAGACCAGGACAGAGTTCCAGGTTCCTGTATTTGGCCTGGCCCAGCCCCAGCTGTGGCAGCCATTTTCACCGGGGAATAAACCAGTGGCTCTCGCTCCCTCTCTCTCTGTAACTCTACCTTTCAAATAAAATAAAATAATAATAAAAATAAGCACAAAGTAAGTAGAAAATGGAAGGATATAACCAAAATCAAGTGTTTACAGCTGTACACTGGAATTACAAGTGATTCTTTTATGTGTTATAAAAACTACGCATGTCGCTTGTGTGATTTTTCTTCCCCGAAGCATTTTAAAGCACCAGTTGTAATTTTTTGGTCCTCTTTGAATAGCTGAAAGTGCAAAGTTTGTTCCCTTAAACAATCCATTACCAGTTAGAGGTGGGGAGAATAAAGAAAAAAGTCCCCAAACTGTAACAATAAACAATCATCATCAAGAAGCCTCAAGTGGATTTCTTTAAGCATATTTTTTTGTTTGTTTTGAGGCAGAGAAATAGAGGGAGAGAAAGATAAAGATGATAGATAAAGGCCAGCGCCATGGCTCACTTGGTTAATCCTCCACCTGCAGTGCCTGCACCCCAGGTTCTAGTCCCGGTTGGGGTGCCGGGTACTAGTCCCGGTTGTTCCTCTTCCAGTCCAGCTCTCTGCTGTGGCCTGGGAGGGCAGTGGAGGATGGTCCAAGTGCTTGAGTCCCTGCAACTGCATGGGAGACCAGGAGGAAGTACCCGACTCCTGGCTTCGGATCGGCACAGCGCTGGCCATAGCAGCCATTAGGGGAGTGAACCAACGGGAAGGAAGACCTTTCTGTCTTTCTCACTGTCTGTAACTCTCTCTCTGTCTCTCTCTCTCACTGTCTAACTCTGCCTGACCAAAAAAAAAAAAAAAAAAAAAAGATAGATAAAGACAGAGAGAGGCAGAGATACACAGAAAGAGCGCTCCCATTCACTGGTTTAATCCCCAGATGCCTGCAATGGGGTTGGACAAGGTCAAAACAGGGAGCTGGGAATGCAGTTCAGGTCTCCCATGGAGGTGGCAGGAATCCAACCCCTGGAGCCAGCACCTGCTGCCTCCCAGGGGCATTAGCAGGAAACTGGAGTCCACGTGAAGAAAAGTGGAGCCAAGGCTGAAACCCACCACTCTGATATGGGATACGAATGTCCCAAAAAGCAGATGACCACTAGGTCAAATGCCCACACACATGTTAGTTTTAATGGTGTCATTTTCCTGGAATCCTTCCTCTGTGCCCTGGAATGATATTTCTAACTCTTTCCCCTGATAGTTCCAAAGATAACATGTCCTAGCCAATCAAATGAAAGAGCTGTTACTTCTGCCTTGAAAAGAAGAAATCCCTGGAAAATGCCTCTTTTCATCTATTTCTTTGTTTTTCAGGTTTGGTTGTAGGCTGATACACACTCCCCAAGGCTTAGCCAGGGAAGCTTGGCTTCCCATCATTTTTAAAAAGCTATTTGGATCTTCATCAGCTCATGAGGACAGATGCACTCAATCCATTTATCACATGCCACTAACAATGGAGTTGGCAAATTCAGAGAGCTGGAACACCTCCACTTGTAACAAATCCAATTCCTGGTCGTCAGCAGCATTTTGATTCCTCTTGGCAGATACTCTTGGCTCTGCAGAATCCTTGGGAAATGTGGAGAGCAGAAGCAGCTGCCAAAATCACACAACTGCTCAAAGAGATGGTTGCTCAGTGTCCCACCCTCTTGTGAATTGTCTACCAAGCAAGAAAACACATGTGAATTTGGGATTTAAGGGAATGATTAGAATACATTTAGGTAGAGTAGCCACCTGTTCATTTTAAAGGCTTTTAAACTCACCATTCCTAATTTTATACTTAAAAATAACATAGCGGCCGGTGCCGTGGTTCAATAGGTTAATCCTCTGCCTGTGGCGCCGGCACACCGGGTTCTAGTCCCGGTCGCGGCAGTGGTTCTGTCCCAGTTGCCCCTCTTCCAGTCCAGTTCTCTGCTGTGGCCCGGGAGTGCAGTGGAGGATGGCCCAAGTGCTTGGGCCCTGCACCCACATGGGAGATCAGGAGAAGCACCTGGTTCCTGGCTTCGGATCAGCACAGCGCTGGCTGCAGCGGCCATTGGGGGGTGAACCAACGGAAAAAGGAAGACCTTTCTCTCTGTCTCTGTCTCTGTCTCTCTCTCTCTCTCTCTCACTGTCCATCTGCCTGTCAAAAAAAAAAAAAATGACATAGTGGAGCCAGCACTGTGGCGTAGCAGGTAAAGCTGGCTACTGCAAGTGGCCCATCCCATATGGGCAACAGTTCGAGTCCTGGCTGCTCCACTTCTGATCCAGCTGCCTGCTAATGTGTCAGGAAAAGCAGAGGAAGGTGGTCCAAATCCTTGGGCCCCTGCACCCATGTGGGAGAGCTGGAAGAAGCTCCTGGCTCCCGGCTTCAGTTTGGCCCAGCTCCATTGTGGCCATTTGGGGAGTGAAGCAGCTAATGGAAAATCTCCCTTTCTCTCTGCCTCTGCCTCTCTGTAACTCTGCCTTCAAATAAATATTTTTAAAAAAATACATAGCATTCAATAAGAACATGAGTCTTGAATTCTAAATCCTCTATACTCTTTTTTTTTTTAAGATATATTTATTTA